TCTCTCTCTCTCTCTCTCTCTCTCTCTCTCTTTCTTTCTTTCTTTCTGCAAATTTTATCAAAAGTTTTAAGAGCAATAATAAGAACTAATACAAACTAAATTAGCACAGAGAAAACAAAAAAGAGAGAAATAACAGAAAAGGCTAAAAGTGCAATAAGAAAAGAAAATAGAAGTAGGAAAAAAAAGAAAGATACAAAGATACAAAGAAGTAGCTTCTGATATTCTTCACAGCATTCTTCACAGCAGTTATAACTACAATTAATTATATTTTAACCTCTCTCTCTCTCAAGTTACATCATGACCCTCTTTCTTCTATAATCTATCCTGTCTAATCGTCAAAACCATAAATCACAAGTTCATTTTTTTCATTTTTACATCAAAAGTCCATCAGGAGTTTCCAGGCACCAATGAAAGTAGATACTGTTCTCTAATCAAAGTCAGTTTGTCCGTCTCAGCAAGTTCTGTCAATTTCACCAACCATTCCTCCATGGAGGGTGGTGCCGAATCTTTCCACCTTTGTGCAAGAACGATCTTCCAACAGGTATCATAAAAAACACTTAAGAGTTTTTGGCTGCCTCTGAAAACTTTCCCATCAAGTTCAACCTCCTTCCGCAACCAGAAGGGAAAGAATGCTTGTCTAGATAGATAGCCTAGCTGATCCTCCACAATGCAAACTACAAGAGTGGCCAGATGTGGGAAGCTGGGCCACATATGAGTTCCTGTCTGCTGAGGCTTGGGGGCTGTGGCCCCGCATCTCCCGTGGCTGTCTGGTGAGAATGTCAGGCTCTCTTAGGCATGGAACTTGCTGATGGGTGGGATTTCAGATGCACTGGCTGTGCACAGGAAAAAGAGAAGCAGGCATTGGGTATCTGGGTGGGAGGAACATATGACTCAGAGAGAGATTTTGGTATGTGCACTGAATGGCAAACGAAGGCTCCTATTTACATGCAGAAAGAATAGATCATGGGCCACACTTTTCATGTCTAAGATCTGAATTCATTCCTTGGCTGCATTTCTATTCTGAAAGAACACAAATGGCAGACCTGGCCTCTGTCACCACGACACCAGATATCATTTTATCCCCCTGCAATCCAGGAGAATTGCTTCTAGTCAGAGAACACACTACTGACACCCTAACAGGACAAGACAGTTTTGTATGACCAACCACCATCCAACTATACATCTTCTCCAGAGCTGGAGAACAAATCCAAGTCCAGGGATCTAATTCCTGAATTCCATCTAAGAAGTTAAATCACAAGACTGATGTCTCAGCTGCAGTGGACAACGATGACTACCCCTTTAGAAACTGAGACTTTCCACCCACTTTGCAGAAACTCTGTTTTGCTCTCCTCACAAACAGGAACACTGAACTGTGTCTCAGAATGATACTTTAGATCAATCTGAAGGCAGGCATCTTACCTACCCTGTGGGTAGAGATTTCCCTCTGGAAGTCGTGGTTGAGATGGGGGCTAGGATCTCTTATATAGAAGAATTCTTGGTAAATCAGGAGCCAGTGGAGTCTAAGGTATGGCACTGGGACATATTTTTTTGCCCTAACTGTAATTTTAATTTGAATCCTGCTGTTTCTCCATTTCCTGACTGACCCTTGTAAGGGTCTGTCCTTCTCCTATGCTTAGCAACCACCATTCTTCTTTGCCGTAGTTTAGGACCCTTCGCCTCCAGAGGTTTGCACCTCCATGCATGTCTCACAGCTTTCCAAAGGGCAACCCAATCCCTCCAGCCCCAGGCACCCATCAGTCACATGTACCTCCCCTCACCCACAGTGCTTTCCAAAGCGCACTTTCCTCCGTGTATGTATCTTCATGTCATCTCTTCATTTCAGTGTTCTCCTCTCATACCATCTCCCCAGGGCTGTATGTACATCCACCCTCTGCCTGGCCCTCCTTGCCCGTTCTTTGAGTGCCACACCAGCTCCGCAGGGAAGACAACCTTCAGAGTGGGCCGCTGAGCACTTAGCAGAGAGGATTCAGGAAGCAGGCGGCTGCCAGTGGGTGCTCTGAAGGGAAGGAATTACTCTTCTTCTGGAGTCTTGTGCGCCCTCTACCACTATTCATTCACAATGTCTCCCCACCTGCTCCTCACTGCCACACTGAGTCAGACCATCTCCCTAGAGCTTCCTACCTTTCCCGCAGATTTGACGCCTTTCCAAACACAGAAATAGACGAGGACCCAGCAAGACAGGAGGCAAAGGGTCACTTCCCAGTTGATAGCCCCAGGGAACTCCAGGCCTTCCGACAGATTCAACACCTTGTTCCTGCAATCAGAGGGAGGAAAAGTGACCACCCAGATGGGATGGGGAGTTGCAGGGAAGCTGCTTTTTGATCAAAGATCTCTGTCTACACAGGCCTACAGGGCAACGAGCATGGCGCTGCCCAGAACAGAGAACTGGAAGGTCAGCTTGGGACAGGAGGGTAAAATGCCATGACTCACTCCCAGAACTCGATGACAGGTGACCGCTTGTCCGAAAGTTCATCGCAGGTAAGGTTGCTGCTGGCAGTGCCATTGGCACAGTCTTCATGTCGGAAGATCTCTACACACTCTGGGGAGTTCCAGGGATTCCCGCAGGTTGCCCAGGGCAGGGTGGCTGTAAAAGACTTCACCAGGTAGTAGAAGCCCCAGGCAAGTACCATGATGTAGTAAGTGTTGCAATAGAAGACGATCACCATAGAAGCAAATCCCAGTCCTGTTTGGAGAAGTTCAGTTACTTGAAGAGAGAAGAGGCTATTTTCCCTGAAGTGTACTGTATATGACACTGTTGCACAGCGAAGATGAGAGATATACATTGTACAAGTAAGTACATTTGCTAAATGCCCATATTTTAAATTGTGAAAACTGAGCACAATTTTCATCAAACAGTAATTTACTTTGGCTTTGCTTGCAGGGTGAAAGAGTGAAAACCCCCCATTTCTAATTGTTAGACAAGTCTTACTTTCCCTGGCTTCTAAGATTACAGGGAATAATCTTACACTGCATACTGTCCGCTTAAGTAGATTTTCACTGCCATATGGATTACAAACCTTGTTTTGGGTACTGAAAGTCTGTGTTCTCAGCTTGATTAATTCTGTCCCCTATGCCACATACAGAATCATGTCTGTATTTAAGCTTGTCTTCTCCATACATCCAGGTAGTCCAATCTTTTTAGTACCTCCTGACCAATCTTTGCCAATCTTACTTATTCTCCTACCATACCCTAATTTGGACACACCTCAGAGATCAATCTATTGGATCTTTTGATATTCCCTTGGTTCCCAATGACGACCCAAAACTGATGCTGTGAGTTGGATTGGGAAATTGAGAGAAGGTGCTTTTCAAAGAAAGCTCAACCTCTCCCTATGAACAAACCCATCTTTTAGTGACGATCTTTTAGAGTTTAGAGATGGAGAGAGAGACATTTACCTTTGAAAAGTGGCGCGATGTTCCATACATTGATGCTTCCAGCCTTCATGAATTGCCCCAAAGAAATTTCCAGGAAGAAGATGGGAATCCCGCCAAGGAGGGCGATAAGAATGTAAGGGATGAGGAACACACCTATAGCCAGGTGAGCAGCACAAAGTAAGCAACAGTGTCATTCTTCTTCAATTCTAATCCCCTTCAGCTTTTTCCCATAGGTACAGATGATCTGTAGGTTTGCTCTACTGAACACATATTTTTAAAAATGGCATCTAAATCTAATCTAATCTAATCTAATCTAATCTAATCTAATCTAATCTAAATTGTGCACCAGGAAAAGCTGAGTCCTGCCCCATAAATTGTGAAAATGGCAAGTCTATTTGCTTAATTGATTCCGCTTTAGCTTGTTGACTGAGAGGAGTGCAAGGGTGTCAGTTGAAATCTTTCTCAGTGGAAATTGTATTCAGTCATCCTTTGGGGCTCTGAGATATCATCAGACCCTGCCACACCTTGAAATTTACTCTCGGATGTCATAATTATTAAAATATGCAAGAATCTCAGAAGTTTTTAAGCAAGGAGAGTGAGCGAGTGGGAGAAGCCAATGAAATGAAATTCAGGTTAGAAGTTAGATTTTTTTTTGCAATCAATACCTGTATTTGTGGCTTCTGTGGCTACTTGGAGTTGTAATATTTCCCAGTCCTCCTTAAAACTTAACCTTCTCCAACTTGGCACCTTCTAAGTATTTTGAGATTGCACAGTTGAGAACTGGCCTTGCTGGCTGGGTTGTATTCCCCAAACATTTGAAGGGTGCTAGGCTGGAGAAGGCCAGCTGGGCTGAAATGCATCCTTGCTCTCCATTCAGAGATATTTTGCTGGCAAGTCTTTCTGTACAAAACATACAGAGGAAGACCAGATCCCTAAGATAGCTGCTACAAAGCTGGAAAGGGGATAGATAAAAAACAGACTCTGTTGTTCTCTATTATTTTCCTTCTGATTTTCCTTCTGGTCATTTAATCATAGGTGTTTCTTCAAGCTCCCAAGATCAGAAAAGGTCTCTGGGCCTCCCCTGCATTATCCATATTGATCACCACCACTTGATTTTGATCTGCTTCCCTCCTTCCCCAAATAGTTCTCAACTTTCCTGTCACCATTGTGCACAAGTGTGCCAGCCCCATAGCTGTGATGGACAGGTTAGTGTGTTCCTAGTACATGCGTGCACGTGGGCCTCAGCATGAATCACCTCAGGGATGCTATTTATAGTACAGATCCGTGGGTTACGGGAAGGTCCAAGTATTGTTTTTCCTTCTGCCAATCCCTAGTTAAAAAGATAATCTTGGGGATATACTGTAAACTCTTTCCCATGGGGATTAACAGGGCAATGGTTGGGGAATTCATTCATTGCTGCACATAGGCGGAGACATCTACTGCGTGGTATATGTGCGTGTTTGCACACAGAGCGGCTGAGATACACATGGCTCTGAGACAAGAGTATGTGTGAAGGCTGACTCAAAGAAGGAACTTTGTGAGTGTGGCTCTATTTACGTGCTTAACCAGGTCAGTTGAATAAACAGCAGCAGCCACATTCCTGAAACGTTGCTAGGTTTGACTAGTATTAATCTTGGGGATTTGGGTAGGTGAGCATGTTGCGCCAACCTAGTTTTTTTGGTTAGTTAATGGTTCAAAAGATTGTGGAAACTCGGAAAATGGATTAATGCAATGATCAGTTTGAGCATATCATGAAGCCTGTGAGTGTGTGTGTGGGTGTGTATGTGTGTGGCTTTATCTGAAGTTTAGCACTCACTCAGATGGTAAACCTGAGATATATCATTTCAGAGTACTCGTACTTCACATGATTTAATATTTCATTTTCTTTTTTGAATCCCTGCACACAGAAAGCTAGCAAGCCAGGGGAAACAATTCTGGCATCATATAAATTTGTTTTGTTTTGTTTTGCATAGAAACCCATTTTAATCTCAAATTCTTGCTTTCAGTCTGACAACCAGACACAAGTTTATCCCTATAAATTAGCCTGGAGTCAAAACTTTCCAGGAATAGCTTTTATAGGACCAATTAAGGTCTGAAATGTGTGATATACAATAGTAAAGGCTTTTTCTAGGAACACTCAAAGTGTATGCCTCATTCCATTAAATAAATAAACCAAAAATGGCTTTTAATCAGTTTTCATATTCTCTCTTTTTGTTTTTTGATGATCAACTCCATAAGGCATTGTGGATGTATGGAAATATCAGGGTTGGATCATGAAATAAATTGGTTGGACAGTCAATCCCTCTCTGCAGTTAACTTTAGAAACTTCGGTCAAGGAAACTGAGAGACTACTAACAGAATTCTCAGCAATCTCTCCAACCTGTAGTTCCCAGGCTTGAAAATTAATTTATGATGTAATTAATTTAGCAGTCTTCCCCTAGGTATCAAACTACAGCTCCCATCATCCCCAGCCAGTGAGGACAGAGGGCTGGGAGGGTAGTTGAGGCCTGGTATATACAGAGAATCCCACACTGGGAAAAACAGTCACAGACATTTACCGTATAAATATATCCCCAATGTTGCCTTTACGTATTTAGCTCAATGATTCCTGTAGGAATGAGAGGAGACCAGAGTCCATTTCTGGATTCACTGTATTTTCACACACCAGTGTTTACTGGTATGAAAAAGTGTTGACTGCTGCTTGAGGAACAGGATGCCTTAATCTCTTTGTGAGTTAGAGAGAGAAGGAAGGCGATAACTGGAAAGATGAAATCCCATGGATTAAAGCGGTCGCTGTCCTGCCCGCGGCAACTTTCGCACCTGAAGGAAAGCACTGACGTTTTCCTCTTTCCTATTCTGGCCACAGATCTATCTCCGAGTGGGTGATGAGAGGCCTTTGGGGGCACGGAGCCAGAAAGACTGAATCACTCATTCCCTGTGATGTCCTCAGGCCCCATGACAAACCCACAGGCCTCTTCTATTCTGCCTCTCCGCCTCAGCTCACGCATGTGAGCCTGCAGCTGCATGTCTAACAAATGCAGGGACCGCTGGCACTTGTGAATGTGCTGACCCTGGTATAGTGCTCCAATCACACCTGCCTGGGTACAACCCCTGCCAGTGGAGGCTTCCACCCATCTACCCACACACCACTGAACGAGGCCACATTCTTAGCCTGGAATTTGGCCCCAGCAGCTGTGGCCTGCTCCGTGCCATGATGTGGCTTTTACACAAAAGAAGTTTCTCTCGACTGCCAGCCAAGTAAAAGAGGAAAGTTCTCAGGGCCCTCAAAGGGGTGGCTGGTGATTATCTCAGCCTCAGCACAAGGCAACCCAGCGACTTTCCCCAGAAGAAAAATGATTCTACCCCAGAAAGTTTGGAGAAACTTGAAGAATGCATCTCTGTTTCAACCCTGGACTATCCCCAGCCATTCTGAGAATATACTTTACTACCAAACGCTGCCTTCTCCAACCTTTCTCTTTCCTACCTAACTTCTCTGGCCAACCAGCTCCTTTGATTGTTTGGATCACTTTTTCTGTCCCTTCTGAGCTCCTTATAAACTTCAAAACATTATTAGAACAGTTTAAACCAGTGTTTCTCAACCTTGGGAACTTTAAGACAGGTGGACTTCAACTCCCAGAATTCCCAAGCCAGCATGGGGAGTTGAATTGAAGAGTTGAATTGAGCTGAATTCTGGGAGTTGAAGTCCACCTGTCTTAAAGTTCCCAAGATTGAGAAACACTGGTTTAAATTCATGCCCTGTAGGGCTAGCAGGCAAAAAAGACACTCTGGCTATGAGATCAGGTGTCCTTGTCATTCACTTCTTCTCGCTGGCCTAGAGGGAGGAAAGCAATCTTTTCCCCAATTTTTGTTCCTGCATTGGTTGCTGGATCCAGATCTCGCTGGGGATTATTCAACTCTGGTGACAGAAATCACGTGCCACCTCAACCACACATAAAACACAAACAGCATCTCTAAGCCACTTGTCAAGTTCACAGTTTTGGCAATCTCTTTGGGTGTTAGCTCAGGCTGAATCTATTCTTTATTAGCATAACAAGATTTACTAGTAATGGCAAAACATCCAGGAAGGATAGATCCCAGACCTTTTCAGTGGGGAAAGAGGAAATAAATGTATCTTTCTCAGAACATGCCTGTTTAAAACAGTAGGGTTGGGCAAATCCGGCCTCTTCAATTTTCTTCTGCTTCATCTCCAGTCAGGATTGAGCAAGTCATTTGCTTTTTTTCTTTCACTTTCTCTCCCTCTCTCTCTTTTAAAAAAGGAACAGCCAGGGCTTGTGGCTGCAGATACCTGCTAAATTTGTCCCATGCAAATATCAGATGAAAACTGGCTCCAGGGATGCAGCTGAGAATGTTGTCTTTCTGCTGAAGTCTGTCAAAGCACTTCTTTTTTTTATTTGCACGTACAACAATCTTAACAGAAACGGCAGATTTAAGGAAGCATTCTGAATCAGTACGTGCAAGGAGAAAAAGACAGAGTGCTATCTTTGACAGAGGTGCCTCAGACAGCAGGGTTTGTCAACAACAACAACAACAATAACTATTATCTGTCCTTTGCAAGCTTTGCTAAGCTGAGACACTTGTCCTTGGCTATTAAAGGACCGCCTTTGTACATTTTGATTTCACTTTTCTTCCAACCGGCACAAGATGATGAACATCCTGCTTAATTCTCACCACATTCTAATTTGACTTCTGAAGTTAGGTAAGGTTAAAAATAGGTACTAGCCCAAGATCACCAAATCGGAGTGGAGGTTTGAGTCCAAGTCACCAGCCCAAGACTTCAAGTCTCACTAACAGCACTCGTCAGAGAGAAATAGTTGCAAAAGTGTCAGCTGGACTTGGTTGTCTTACCTAAGAGCAGTGTGACACAATGTGCGTCACATCAGCCCACAGCAGGCCACAGAGCCTTATTGCTCTTCTCTCCTCTCCTAAAAGCAGCAAGGAGAAAACCACCTCTCCTTCAGGGAGAATGAGATAGCAATTTTGGCCTTGTGCTGTACAGATAATGAATCAAATTGGGAGTGACAATGAGACAGTGGGATCCAAACCCCCATTTATAAAGGTCAGGAAATTCTAAAATAGAGGGAGAAGAGCTTCTCCGACCCCCTGGCCCCCACTTCATTGCTAAATAAAGAGATGCTGGAGAAGGATTTGGGC